TGTCAGGCATCTTCGTAGATGAAGCGACGAGTGGAGAGAATGGTTTAGCCTCCGTCCAATCCATTCCCTCCCCTCCTTCCCTCCCTTCCTCCCTCCCAACCTCATTGGAATGTGCCGATGCGTTGCTGGCCGACTCCTCCTCGCTCGTAACAGAGACCTGAGAACAGGGGGGATGAGTAAGAGATAACAAGAGGAACGGGAACGAGGAAGGAGAGGAGAGGAGAGGAGAGGAGAGGAGAGGAGAGGAGAGGAGAGGAGAGGAGAGGAGAGGAGAGGAGAGGAGAGGAGAGGAGAGGAGAGGAGAGGAGAGGATAGTTGAACGGCAGTTGATCAGAGTGAAGGAAAAATGAATCCGCATGAAGCAAGTTTGTTCATTCACCGTCGCGGCGTCATCGTCCTCATTCCCGTAGTTCTCCTTCCAATCTGTGAGCAACCCACAACAGCTTCTCTCTCTCACCATCTCTCCTTCCGGCGTCGGCGACGTGCTCTCGCTCCTACTCGGCGACAGGGATCGATGCTTCCGTCCCAGCTGGGCAGCAGGAGGAGGATCTGACAGCTCAACTTTCTCAGGATGGAGTGAGTGGCCCTTGTGTGCCCTCCTTCCCCGCGGGAGAGGCGAGAGGTGGACCTTGTCCGTAGCCGTTGACCCCTGGGGGACGTCGAGCTGAGCAACATGCCGGTTGAGACGGCGGTAGGAGAGCGCATGAGCATGGGAGGAAGGGTACAGGTTGAGATGCTGCTCCTGATCTTCTGACCAGCGGACGTGAACGCCTTTGCGGAACTTGGAAGCTCCTGCGGGCTTGTAAGCCATCGGCTCGTTGGTGGCTCGCCGGTGGGACGCCGGGTGGCCATGAGGAAGAATGTCCTTCGCTCCTGGCGGCTTGCGATGATGGATCTTTCTGGGTTGATCTACAGCAGGTTGCTGCTGCTGCTCCTGCTGCTGTTGTTGCTTCTCCTGTTTGTGTTGGTTCTCCTCCTCTAGCTCCTCCTGCTCCTGCTCCATCCCACCCGGCATGCAAGCTGAGAGCATCTGCGACTGTTGGGCATCTTGACGTCTACCATCAAGGAAGAGTCAGGAGGAGGAGGAATGGAAGAATGTTTGATTTCTCACCCCACGTGCTCCTCCAAGATGGCCTGGACCTGCTGCTGGTCCTGCCACTGCAGACCGTCGACTATCTTGGGGGCACGGCTACCAACTTCCTCCGCATGCTCCAGCCCCAGGCCTTTCATTCTATCCTCAACCTCCTCCACGGCCTGCAGGCAACGTCACTGTCCCACCCAAGCACGCACTCCCCCACCAGCTCTTGGCCAGCTGCAGCTTTCGTGACGACTTTGCCAAGGCTCACGGCCGGGCGGCAGGAAGTGCTGTCCGATAGGAACTCGGAGTCTGTGTTAGTGCGAGAGTCGAAGTTGAGAGTCCCTTCCCTGCTGTCTGGAGGGGAGGAGGGAAGGTCAGGCCAGGGAGGGACGGCAGGAGAGTCACACCTGGAAACTGTAGGAGGTGAGAGAAGATCGTCTCCTGCAGCCGGGACATCTCCGAGTCCTCGCTGGCCTCGAGGTTCGCAGTCTTGAAGTACCTCTTGAGAACCTCCCCCTTGGAGATCTTCGACCGGATCGTCCGGAGCATTGCCTTGGAGGACCAGGCGTCCTCCAGGTGGTGCTGAATGGCCTCGTGCATCACCTGAACCTTCTTCTCTCCGGCATCCCACAAGACTTTCCCCTTGAAGTGCTTCCGCAGGCACTTGATCACGATGGCATGGATGGTGGCCAGGGACCGATCGACGTTGGTGTTGTCGATCTTTGGGATCAGGTACCGGTCCGCTCCCTCGCTCAGTGCCGTCTGGATGCACCTGATGTTCTCGAAGAACTTGATGTAGCGGTTGGACCGCGAGTCGAGCGCCATGTACTTGGCCCTGACCGCGAATCTCTCTCGGTGCTTGACGTCGTTGGAGATGTAGATGAGGAAGGGGATGCAGGACGGGTGCTTCTCCATGAGCGCTGCGATGTTCTCCATGGTCAGGTGAACCCCCTCCACGATGAGCGGCTCCCTCCTGGCCTCGTAGACGGCGATGACGCTCTCCAGCCGGTCGAAGACAAGGCGACTCTGCTCCGAGTACCCTCGGAGAACGAGATCCTTGGGATCCTGAAGGGAAGACTTCACCTCTTCTTCGAGTGACTCGCCAGCGTTGTAGGTGCTCGCGTAGAGGATAGGAGAGTCTTCCTTGCTGACCTCTCTGCGCAGCATGTGCCTAATGAAGTCGGTAGACAAGACGGTCGTGATCCCCAGCCTGCTGGCCGTGAGGGATGCGAGCGTCGACTTGCCGCACCCTGAAGTCCCTCCGAAGAGGATGATCATGCTCGATCTACGCTCCCTGATGCTACAAGACATGATGAAGTCGGTGAGGTGCTTCCTCCGGTACCGGTCCGTCAGAGCCAGGGCGTACCCCACCAACGTGATGAACTGAATCCTCGTCAGAGTCACGTCGAAAGCCTTCCTGCTCCCTGCGGCGCGCGGTGGGTCTTGAGCACGCTGCCCTCCACCATGGATCGACGTTTTTGAACCGTTCTCCTCGACTCCTGCTGCTCCACATTCACCGCCCGGCTGTTGGACTTGATCTCGTTGTTGGGGACCTCCTAAGGTAGCTAGATCTGCTCGCCACAAGCAGCGTCACTGACTCGTCTCTACTCCAAGGCAAACGAGACCTCCCTCCCTCCATTTCTGCTCCAGCTGCTGGCACACGATAGCAAGCCTCTCAAACGAACACCTGGCGACCTGCATGGCACAATCCACACATCACCATCCTCCTCCTCCTCCTCCTCCTCCTCCTCCTCCTGCTCATCGTCATCGTCGTCATCATCATCATCGTCATCGTCATCGTCATCGTCATCGTCATCGTCATCGTCATCGTCATCGTCATTGTAATCATAATCATCATAATCATAATGGTCGTCGTCGTCGTCGTCGTCGTCGTCGTCGTCGTCGTCGTCGTCATCATCATCATCATCATCATCATCATCATCATCATCATCATCATCATCATCATCATCATCATCATCATCATCATCATCATCATCATCATCATCATCATCATCATCATCATCATCATCATCATCATCATCATCGTCATCGTCATCATCGTCATCGTCATCTCCAGACCTCGTGGGCTCTCAGTTGTTTCAACCCCATCAGCTGACGTCGAATGTCAGCCACACTGCATCCCTCAAACCATCCCCAACAGCTCCCCACCTGCAGCACACTTCGGAGCTGATACGGCGTGTACTTGCGAGTGCAGCCGTCTCTCTGAACAAGAACCCAACAAGTTTCTCAGCTCACAACCAGTACTCTCCTCTTCCAGTCCACTTGCCGAGGATTCGGAGGCGTCTGCCGCCGGGAGTGTCCAGCCCGTCTGCAACACCTCGGACCCTCTCTGCCCATGTGTCAGACGCAGCCAACTGAAACTCGTTCAGACCTTCTCTAGTGCGCGCAGGAGCTTTTTCTCCAGCTGCTCCATCACGATCGCGTTGCTGGAGTCGAGGGAAACCTGAAGGAGCATCAGGGGTGCGATGGAAGAAGACGAGACAAGATCACGTTCTTGACGAACTTGAGCAGCTTCTCCTTCTCATCCTCCAGCACTGTGATGCAGGAGACCAGGAGCTGATCGCTCAGGTGTGCATGCAAGGGATGGGATACCTTTCATGCACATCATCAGCCAATCAGCCACAAGGCGGGCAAAGAGGAGTTACGCACCCTTGCATGTTCCACTTGTTCCGACATGACGCTCGTGCTAGTCAGGATGTCTTTGTCCTACTCGTTCGACATTCTTCACTCTCCAGCTCTGATTTTCGTGCTAGATATCAGGTGTTTCCTTGTGCTTCATGGCGATTGAAACTGTCAAGAACCTGCGTAACCATAATCAACAATTTCGAATGTCAGATCAGCCTAGATGTCTGAATGTCTGAATGTCTGCAGGACTATTGTTTTGGAAAGTTCTCTATTAAAACCTGTCCACCTTTCAGTCGAGCTCTTCACAAACTCCTCTGTTATCGTCATCGTCATCGGCGACTTCTTTCCTCCCTCCCTCCCTCCCTCCCTCCCTCCCTCCCTCCCTCCCTCCCTCCCTCCCTCCCTCCCTCCCTCCCTCCCTCCCTCCCTCCAACTCTGCTCATTCTTCCGCTCGCATATCTTCTCCTTGCATGCCTCATTGTCGCAACCTCAACCCCTCCTTGTGATCATCCTCCTCGTTTCTCTCCGAGCAGCAGCTTCCCCTTGCGCCTTCTCTCCGAGTCTCTGACATCCGTCTGCCTGCTCGTCTCTTCTCCTCGACTCGAGCATGATCTCTTCATCCCACTCTTCCTCGCACCCACTGCAACTTGCTGCTTCCTGGAGTTGGTTCAGCCACCCTGGCATTTTCCAGATTTCTAGTTTGGGCCCAACTCTGAGTGACGGCCGGGCAGACCGGGCAGACTGCCGGGCCATTGACCGTTTGAGTAAAGAGGGTCCGCCGCCGCCGCGGGGATCGCTGGCCGCGGCCGGCGGCACCGCCCGGACGGGCCCGGGCCGGGGGTCCGGCGGTCGGGCTTCATAACTTCGGAACTTGCGGGGGCGGCACCACCCGGGCCGCCCGCGGGGCCTCGATGGTCGGCGCGGCTGCTGTGGCCGCGGGGGCCTCGCCGATGGTCGCCGGGCCGCCGGGCCGCGGCGGCCCCCCCCCCCGCCGGGACCGGGGCCCGGCGGGCCCCCACAGCCTTCAGGGCTTCCACGGTGGCAGGGGCCGGGCGGGCGCGGCCACCAGCCCGGCCCACGGAGGCCGGGAGGCTATAGACGGTCGCGGCGCCCCCTGGTTCATCGGCTCGGCGCCGCCAGTACGGGCCCGGCGCGGGCCGCCGCCGCTCGCGGCCCAGGCCCGGCGTGCCGTGGCCCGGTGCCCCCCGCCTTTCAACGGTGACCCGAGCAATCCGAGCGGATCGGGCTCTGATACTGACCTAGAGGCTGGTCTTTACTCAACGTGACTTGGCAAAGGCTTAAGTGGCTAGTCACTCGGACTCGCCCCGAGGTGACCGTCACACGAGTCACGGTACCGTCAAGGTCACAGATCCGTTGCCACGGACGGTAGGATGGGATTAGACTCTGATGATCAGCGGCACTGTGACACCGTGCCAGGACTCCCGTCCGATCGTGACACGTCGCCGGGACGAGCGGACTCCGGACCGGCTCGGAGAAGATCGGACGGTCAGCGGCTGTCCGTCCGTCGGAGTGTCACGGTGGCACACCTCAGAGTCCCCGGCGAGCGGCGCCTGAGCCCGACGGTCCCGGTGGCAGCATGGTGACCGTCACGGCACTGAGCTCTGGCAGGGTCTCCACTTATAGCTCCAGTGCTTGGGCCACTCCTTGCAGGGATCGCCAGGCAGCCTCGTGGAGCAATCTGTAGGTCCGAGGAGTTGCTGGGCTTGAGAGGCCTTCTTTCCCAATTTGTCCCGCAAGAAGGAAAAGAACTTGTCCTTGTAGTTTTTGCTGTAGAACTGCCTCTTGTTGCGGATCGACACTCCAGACTCCTCGCTCAGCTTCAGCACCTGCAGGAACAGTCTCTGCGTCTCTTCAAAGGTTGCAAACTCCCTTGCGTCCAGCTTGGATGCTCGGCGGCCCGAGGGCGGGGGCCCTCTCCCTCTCCTTTCAGCCTCTCCTTGCTGACCGACAGCGCAAGCCTTTGCTCCTGCAGAAGGGATCTGTTGCGACTTGCTCTTTTCTGCCGATCTTTTGATTGCACAACGATCTTTGAACATGCTTTGCTCTCCCTGTTGTTCCTCCAACACATTCTTTGCTGCAGACAACTTGTCTGCCCCACTCAGAAGAGAAGTTTGGTTTGTCTCCAGGTTCGACCTTGACAAGGCATACTTCCGCACCAGGCATCTCATGGACCTTTGTAGCCTGTACTTGTTCTTGTAGAAGTTTCGCATCTCGATTTCAACCTTCTCCGCGGACTCGTTGAAATGTCGGCGATACCATTCAGAGAATTTTGAATTTTCTACGTTGAGAAACCCATTCAGCTTTGTTGCAGCATCGCTAATCATTCTCTGCAGATATTCGCTGGATGATTTGATGGAATCGTAGTGGACCCTGTCCTCCTCCACCGCTGGGAGACTATCCCAACTTATTTCAAAGTTGCATATCATCAACTGCTGCCGTTTTCTCGAATGAATCAGTTCTTTCACTTCATCGAGGGAGCGAATGATCTTCAAGGCATTGGGATGGATGTCAAGGATGATCAGACAAAGTTGAAAATTCACATCATCCTGAACCTTGATACATCTCTGTCCGATGTGCTGCTCAACCTCGTTCATACCTGTGGGTTGCAAATCAACTATGGCACAGACATGTAACACTTGAAGGGTTCAGAGATATTTGAGAGACATCGTATCATGGAGTGAATCATGGATGAAATCGCCTAATTCGTCTCGAACACTTGTTGCAGACTTCGAAAACCTCAGTCTGACCTAACACATCAATGTGACGTGAGCCATACTAGAGACGATCGATCTCCTGTGACTCATGGGAAGTTGTTTTGAATCATTCTAAACATCGCAAAAGTACATCTCATCTTCATCGTCACCTTTCTTGCGAACTGCCTCCTATTCCTGCCCCGTCTTACCTTGGTTGCTACCAAGATCCGGGACCCCACCCCTCCTTGACCCTGCAATTTTCAGGGACACCGTAGGGTTCTTCTTTTTGTAGCTAAGAATATGAGGCAGAGGAGGGTAGGGTACCCTAAAAGTGTGGGGTATGGGGGTACTTGAGCTAAGAAATTCAATATTTAAAAGGGGGTGGAAGAGTATATCAAAAGGGGTTATGAATGCAAATATTGAAGACTATAGGGTGGGGTAGTAATGGAGGGTGGGGGGTTGATTTCATATTGGCGGGGGAAAGGGAATAAAAAGGAAGAGAGGGAAGGGACAGGGAGGAGAGCAAGTGACCATGCGGCAAGAGGAAATGCTGGGGTTTGCCGACGTTTCCAATGGCAGAAGCTACAATGAATCTCTCCTGGATGGAGTCGGTGCTGGGACAGACCTGATGAGGACCAGCATCCAGCCTGCTTCATTCCTCTCGAACCAGGAAGTCGGGCCTGCTGTCTTGCAACTCCAAGTCCAACTCGAAGAGCAGCGGATAAATTTGCAGCGTTCGAACATGTTTGCCCAGCTGTACGACATAAAGAGAGCATTGTTACAGGTGGACTTGAACGAGATGCCTGATGACGAGTTCGAGGAAAAATACAATGAGATGCAAAAGCTCCTTGCACAACTCGAAGCTCTGTCGAGGGATCCAGCTTCTGTAAGGGAAGAAAAGAATAAGATTATTCAGTCCTTCAAAAATCATTGTGACGATGTGGAATATCGTCGTCGACATGGGCTTCGTGTAACGCCGTCGAGCTCGAGGATTTCTTCTCGGTTTTCACCTTCGGGCTCAGTGTCAACAACCTTGACTCCCCCTCGCAACTCGCTCAGTGCAAGCAAGCAGTCCGAGAGAAGCTCGAGCATCCGACTGGACGATGCTTTCCGCGCCGCAGCTTCAGATGCTTCAACAAACCAGCAGCAGTCAGCTTGCAAGAGCAAGACGGCAAGAGTTGGACCAGTTGCCGGAACCCAGTCGAGCCCTGCCAGGAGCGATGTGATGAGGCACGAGGATGGGAATGGCGATCAGACTCAGAGCACTGGCAGCTCAAGAGGACTGAGCGGCTCCGATGGTTTGCTATCAGATCAAGTCGGATCCTCGCAATGTCAGATACCCGACAGCTCGGTGGCGGCTAGCGTTGAGGAGGAGGTTGTAGCCGTCGGGTACGAGGAGGAGTACTCCCCACCTAAGACGAGGGATTCGAACAAACGGGTACGCTGGCCCAAAGAGGCCATGATTTCTCGCAAGGATTCCAAGCTCGACAAATCCTTTCCTCCGAGGTTGACGATCAGAGAGTGAGTGAGATTCCTCTTGTCTTGTTACTGAAGGTACATGTCAGGCAACTCACCAATGAGCGATTGATCGCATCGTTCGTATTTTATCACCAGAACAAGCACCTGTCATTTCCAAAGAAGACTGAGAAAGAGCAAATTGATCAATTCCACTCGTGGTCCAGGTACATCCAGACAGAAAAACTGTCCAGTGTCAAACGCGTCAGTCCTCATGAGATGATGGGCAACATGCATTTCCACAACAAGATGGCAGCTTGCTACAAATACCCGGAGCTGTCGTCTCTCGTGGAAGTATCAAGGCCCGACGTCCCCCTGCAACTTAGTTGAGTGACTCGCCGACCGTCATCGTATGCGCGCTCGAGGCTCGAAGATTTGATCGTGACTGGAGCGACTTGGGACTGGCGAGCAGTTAACACATGGAAAACTCCATCATGAGATCTGCATCAAAAGCTTGTCAGTGTTGTGTGTTTTGTTTGTGACCAATCATAATATCGTAAGTCATCATAATTGTAATTTCATTGAATACGGTGGCGGCGTTCCCGCCATCATAATTACAACCGTGACATGACGGTGCTCGTTCCAGTTGATTATCCGAGGGTGTCAATGGGTCGAGCGCCTTCCTGTAGGTTGACATCGCAAGTTCATGACTCATGTCACACTGTGACAGTACGGCCCGGTGAGCTCGGAGCCGGCAGTGACTGGGCGAGCGGCCCGGCGGCGGGCCCGGGGAACTCAGTTCGGAAGCCTCAGGGCCTTCCGCCCTCAGCGCTCAGTCAAAGCGATCCGACATCAACCGTCAGCAAGAGCATGAAACTTGACTCGAAGACAGGACTGCAGAGCCTCGGAGAAAACCGTCACTGAACACTTATTGCCAAATGGGCGGTGCGGATGTTGACTCGCCCGGTGACCGTCCGACTCCCGGAGTCCGGCGGGACTCCGGCCGCCCGGCCCGGTGACCCGGTTCCCTGCCGCTCGGCGAACTAGTCCAGGCTGAGTGACTCGGCCGAAACTTCTTTACTCAAAGTTAAGTTAAAAATCAGTACGAGGACACTGAGTCACGGTGGTTGGAGGCCTACTGCGGCCCGCCACTGGTCGCACTGAGGCTAGAGCCGGGCTGAGCCTCGGAGTCCGGTCGACTCTCGCCGGGAGTCCTGTGGCACACTGGGGGGGGGCGTGACGGTCAGTGACCTTCAAGCGAGTCAAGTTGAGTCAGGGCCGGCGTCCGATGACCGCGGTGATCATAAAGCCATGGTTTTCATACTATGACACCCACACTAGTTCAACGAATCAATGATTACTAGTTCGCGCTGTTCATTCATGACTTCAACCTCCGAAGCTCATAAAATGTATCACGGTGACAAGCAGCACAACGAAAGGCTGATGATGTCTTGTTAGCGATGAAGCAAGTGTTTAGCTATCATATCAATCAACTATCATACACGCTGCAAGGATTGAGTTGGTCGCCTTACAGCTCTACCTCGGATTCCAACGCCCTGCAGGCACCAGTCAGAGCCAACAACAACAAGAGCAGCCAGCAATATGAGCCATCTGACTCGCTCGTACCAGGGTATGAAGTATCGCCTCTCCTCGTCGTAGATGTAGCAGAAGGCGTCCCCTGGCCTCGAGCACTCGTCCGTGAAGCTGCAGATCCAGACCTCCATCTTGTTCGGGACCAGGTACCTGCCCAGCCCGCCGGTCCTGAAGGTTGTGTTCCTGACTGCTAGCGACTGGATGATCTCTCTCCACGACTGCCGCAGCTGGCAGGAGCTGTACTCCGCCTTGACGAACCAGTACCCCGCCAGCGACCCGCGCGTGATGTTGGCGCGCCACGACATGGCGAACCCTTGGTACACAACGCTGGAGTCTGACTGAAAGACGATCTCAAGGGCGGGGTAGGAGGAGGTGAAGGTCAGGGCCCCGGAAGGTTGAAGCCCCGTCAGCCTCGCTAGCTCGACCTTGCCGATGCACTCGAGCGACGAGCTGGCAACGAAGACGCACTGGTTGATGGTAACGAAGTCGTAACCGTCCTCGAGGTGGAAGGAGGTGAAGTTGATGGAGATGCTGCTGGCGTTGGCTGGCCGGATGATCCACCGGCAGTCGCTCTCATCTTCATACACGCCTGACGGCGTTGACCCGTCCGTTAACAAGCCGTTGGCGACATCGAACAGCTGACACCGGCACTTGCCCGCGCATGGGGTGATTGCGGGACTGCAGATGCTGTCCTGGAACTCCCCGCATGGCGATGCGTGCTCGCCCTTGGGGCACACAGGGACGGAGCAGCGCTGGCAAGAGGAGCCGGAGATGAAGTGGTTGGGGGCGCACGTGAGGCGCTTGAGGAGGACTCGGGTAGTCGTGCAGCTCTCTCCTAGCGCTAGAGCATACAGCTCGGCATCTGTGCGGATTGACTTGACAAGGCCAGCATGACGAACAACTTGGCCTACTGAGGAAGGGACGTTGGAAGTAGCGTACACAGAGCTGTCGGAGACGACAAGGTAGTCCAGGCCCCACGGGAAGCTTGTGATCACCTGGACGCTCTCCGAGTCGTTGGGGGCCACCTCCCACCCTGCTGGAACCTGAATCATTCCGCACCTCAACCTTTTGTTCGCATCCACTGCTGCAGTGCCCTGGTAGGCGTCCCAAGGGTCCATGTGGTCTTCTGTCAGGACAGCGAACTGGTTTCCTTGAGCTGACGTGACTGTAGACATCCAGCCGCACTGGTACTGCATGCTGCTGACGTCATCCAGGCACGGGGAGGTAAGGTTGCACAGAACAGATGCAGCAACGAGATCGTTTCTAGCAAGCAAACTGTCGGGTGCCTCGCACGAGTAACAGCGGCTTCTTGACTTGTAATACCCCGGCTGACAACGCCATGCGCACTCCTCTCTAGCCCGCTCATGCTCCAGGTAGTAGGCGAAGTTGGGCCTGACCCGACACGGCACACAGTTTTCTCCTTCACGGTAGTGACCGGTTGAGCAGCGCCATTGACACTCGGTCTGATTTCCCTCCTGCAAGGAGACATAGACAGCGAGGTCTGGCTTCTTGAACCGCGGGCTGCAGGCAACGCAGCTATCGTAGGACTTGTAGAAGCCGGCGGCGCAAACCCAGGAACACCCAGCTGAGCTGGAGGAGGGGACAGCGTTGGCAGGAACAGCAGCAGAGCATGGGAGACAGGCCTTATCCCCGCTTCCTTGATAGCCCGAGTCACAGCTGACTTTAACTAGGAGGGTCCTCAGCGACGTGACGTTGTTCATGCATGCTGATGTGAGGGTGGCAAGCCTGCCCCCGAAGTCAACGAACCCATCCTGCCTGTAGAAGTAGAACCCTGCTCCGTCTGACCGCTTCGAGATGGACGCGTGTGAAAACTGAACCGTCAAACTGCTTTCACCGTAGTTCTCGCTGAATCGTATCCTGATGGGGTAGTAGGTGTAGGCGTCAAGGTTGATGGAGCCGCTCCTCTCCTGGGATGAATGTATTCCCCCGTTGCTCACCACCAGGATCTCACTGCCGCCAACGGTGATCCAAAGATTGCTCTCGTCGTCACTAGTGGTATAGAACGTGAAGCTTCCCAAGTACTGTTGGGTGTAGAAGAAGCCTTGGTACTCCACCGCAAAGGTGTCGCCCGTCGTCCACAAGTCGTAGATGTTGATAGATATCCCAGTGCTAGCCACAACACCAGAGTAGACCGAATATCCGTTGGTCCAGTGCCTGTACTTCAATCCTGAAGAATTTTGAGCGACAGGATCCGAGGTGATCATAGCGGTGGGGTATGCGACGCCAGTACCAAGGATCATCCCCGTAGCCCCCCAAGGGTACGAGGCTGCTACTCTTATAGCATCCTGATCGGCTGGCGCTATGGTCCAACCTGCTGGGAAGACCTGATAGGTCCACCCGTCGCGCTCGCAAGAAACTTTCAAGTCCTCGGGGTCAATGTTGTCTAGCGTGCTGTAAAATTTGCCGTTGTATGCCACCACTCTAGGCCCTGCTTCCCCGCAGCCTTCGCCTCCTCCATCCCCCGAGCACAAGCGCCATGAGCAAGAGCCTGGCTGATCGACGAGGCCGTTGGAGATGAACGAGGCTTGAGGTGGGAGGCTGTTGGTACACGGCAAGCAGGTCAACAGGCTTGAGCTGCGGTAGTACCCGATGCCGCACTCCCAAGGGCACTGACTGCTGCCGAAGTCCTTGACGTCAGAGGCCAGGGAGTAGTGAGCATTGGGAGGGATGGGGTTGGAGCAGGAGATGCAGGAAGCTCCATCGAGGTAGAACCCTGCGGAGCAGAAGAGAGAGACAAGTAGAATACCACTGCACGAGTCTCTCGCCCGGTACATCCCATCGTACTCGATCAGTGAACCGCTGCTCTGCATGTAGGGGTTGTTGCAGCAGTAGCAGTTCATCGAGTACCAGTACGACCCGTCGCCTACCTGCATGTAGCACGTGCCCCAGCGCTGAGAGGAGATCACTGTCTGACTGTCAACCGTGTTAGGAGCGATGGTCCAGCCGTCAGGAAGAGCTCGGAGGTAGCTTGGGAAAGAGCAAGTTTGTAGGTCGTCAGGGCGAGAGCCTTCAAGTGAAGCATAGAAGCGTCTGCCGTATTCGAAAGGCTCGCAGAAACTTTGACCTTTGCCGTCAGACCTGAGCCTGACCTGAAGGAAGTAGCCGAAGTCGCACGCCCACTCGCAGCCCGACTTGCTCGTCGCTACCCAGTGAGACCTCGCCGGCTTGTCCCCGCACGGCTGGCAGCCTCTGCCCTCCTGGTAGTACCATCCTCCCGAGCACTCCCACCCGCAGATCGCCGCCGACCCGTTGCTGCTCCCATGCCCGTACTCCACGTACTCCGCGTGCGCCGGCGCCGCCTTGCACGCCTCGCAGGTCTCGCCCTGCCGCCTGTAGCCTGGCACGCACTCCCAGGGACAGTCAGGGTCTGTGAAGCGGCTGGGGTCAAGCTGGACAGAGTACACGGCGTGAGGGGGGAGGGGGTTGGAGCATGTGGAGCACGTGGAGTTGTTGAGAAGGTAGTAGCCCGCGGCGCAGTACTCCGAGACAAGCATGATGGAGCCGCACGAGTCCGTCGAGCGATACATGCCGTCGTACGAGACGATCGATGAGCTGCAGCACTGGTACGGGTATGTGTTCCCCCCGCATGATGCCGTGTACCACCTCGTGCCATCCGCCAGCGTCATGGTGCAGGAGTCCCACTGGTAGAGCCATACCGCGAGCTGACTGTCTTGGACGTTGGGAGCGATCCTCCAGCCTGCCGGGACCGAGCGAAACTTGTTGTCATAGTTGCAAGAGTATCCATAGTAGTAGTAGGGGTACAGATTACTTGGTGGAGGAGGCAGTTCAGGAGGAGAGCCGTCGAGAGGAGCGTAGTAGCGGCCGTTGACCTCCACCGCCTCGCATCGCGTCTGATCCTTGAGGAAGTAGCCGAAGTCGCACGCCCACTCGCAGCCCGACTTGCTCGTCGCTACCCAGTGAGACCTCGCCGGCTTGTCCCCGCACGGCTGGCAGCCTCTGCCCTCCTGGTAGTACCATCCTCCCGAGCACTCCCACCCGCAGATCGCCGCCGACCCGTTGCTGCTCCCATGCCCGTACTCCACGTACTCCGCGTGCGCCGGCGCCGCCTTGCACGCCTCGCAGGTCTCGCCCTGCCGCCTGTAGCCTGGCACGCACTCCCAGGGACAGTCAGGGTCTGTGAAGCGGCTGCGGTCAAGCTGGACAGAGTACACGGCGTGAGGGGGGATGGGGTTTGAGCAACGTACACAACTTGCGTTTTGAGCGTTCAGGTTTCGATCTGTAAGGTCCTGCATTCTCAGATCTGAGGAGATGTTCTCATAGCCTGACGAGTTCAGGGTCATATTGTCATCAGCCAAGAAGGTTGAAGTGAAAGACTCTGAGAGGTAGTAGCCCGCGGCGCAGTACTCCGAGACAAGCATGATGGAGCCGCACGAGTCCGTCGAGCGATACATGCCGTCGTACGAGACGATCGATGAGCTGCAGCACTGGTACGGGTATGTGTTCCCCCCGCATGATGCCGTGTACCACCTCGTGCCATCCGCCAGCGTCATGGTGCAGGAGTCCCACTGGTAGAGCCATACCGCAAGCTGACTGTCTTGGACGTTGGGAGCGATCCTCCAGCCTGCCGGGACCGAGCGAAACTTGTTGTTGTAACAGCCATTGATATACCACCAATAGAACATCGGATCCAAATAAGGAATCAGGTTTTGTTTGTAAGGAGGAGAGCCGTCGAGAGGAGCGTAGTAGCGGCCGTTGACCTCCACCGCCTCGCATCGCGTCTGATCCTTGAGGAAGTAGCCGAAGTCGCACGCCCACTCGCAGCCCGACTTGCTCGTCGCTACCCAGTGAGACCTCGCCGGCTTGTCCCCGCACGGCTGGCAGCCTCTGCCCTCCTGGTAGTACCATCCTCCCGAGCACTCCCACCCGCAGATCGCCGCCGACCCGTTGCTGCTCCCATGCCCGTACTCCACGTACTCCGCGTGCGCCGGCGCCGCCTTGCACGCCTCGCAGGTCTCGCCCTGCCGCCTGTAGCCTGGCACGCACTCCCAGGGACAGTCAGGGTCTGTGAAGCGGCTGGGGTCAAGCTGGACAGAGTACACGGCGTGAGGGGGGAGGGGGTTGGAGCATGTGGAGCACGTGGAGTTGTTGAGAAGGTAGTAGCCCGCGGCGCAGTACTCCGAGACAAGCATGATGGAGCCGCACGAGTCAATCGAGCGATACATGCCGTCGTACGAGACGATCGATGAGCTGCAGCACTGGTACGGGTATGTGTTCCCCCCGCATGATGCCGTGTACCACCTCGTGCCATCCGCCAGCGTCATGGTGCAGGAGTCCCACTGGTAGAGCCATACCGCAAGCTGACTGTCTTGGACGTTGGGAGCGATCCTCCAGCCTGCCGGGACCGAGCGGAACTTGTTGTCATAGCTGCAAGACCAGTACCAGTAGTAGTAGTAGGGATACTCGTTGAGAGATTGGTATGGATATAGAGGATTGTAAGGCGGGGAGCCGTCGAGAGGAGCGTAGTAGCGGCCGTTGACCTCCACCGCCTCGCATCGCGTCTGATCCTTGAGGAAGTAGCCGAAGTCGCACGCCCACTCGCAGCCCGACTTGCTCGTCGCTACCCAGTGAGACCTCGCCGGCTTGTCCCCGCACGGCTGGCAGCCTCTGCCCTCCTGGTAGTACCATCCTCCCGAGCACTCCCACAGACAGTCGTATCTCAGATCGTTTCTGCTTGTCATCATTGCGTACTGTCCGTGGACAGGTAGCTGGGAAGCAGCACAGGGAACGCAGCTCCCTCCCGCCTTCATGAAACCAGCTTCGCACCTGTAACCACAGGTCGAGAGGAGGTTGTCCTTGTCGTCATAGACTGCTGCGTACTTGGCGTTTGCTGGGAGGGTGTTTGAGCAGGGGACGCAGTTGGAGTTTTCCCTGAAATATCCAGCAGCACACTCAGTCGACACCAGGAGGATGGACTCAGAACAGTCTGTAGTTCGCCACATGTTGTTGTATGTCTCCAGTGAGCCAGTACAACATTGTTCAGGACTTGACGAATAAGAACATTCCGCTGTATTCCACCTCGTGTGATCCGAGAAAACCAGCCTGCATGATCCCCACGAGTAGAGCCAAGTCACTTGCTGGCTGTCTGTTGTATCAGGAGCGATGGTCCAGCCGTCAGGGATTGGGAGGAAAGGATTGTTCATACACATGATTCGATCTTCAGGCCCCCGACCGTTCAATGTTGTGTAGTATCGCCCACCATAGTTGATGCCGACGCATCTTCCGTCCTTTTCGAGAAAACCGAAGCGGCACTCCCACGAGCACGTCAGAGCTCCGCTCCCGTCCGTCAGGAAGTAGGCGAACTCGGGTAAGACCACGTTGCAGGGTCTGCAGGAGCCCTCGCTCAAGGTGAACCCAGCTCGACACGACCATTCGCAGCTCACCCCATCCTTTTCCATGTACACCGAATGGTCGGGAGCGCCTGAGCAAGGGAGGCAAGAGGAAGAGTCGGAGTTGGGGTAGAAACCTCCATCGCACTGCCACCTGCAGTTGTTCTTGAAGGCGGGAGAGCCGCTGCTGGAGTAGTGAGAGTGCTCGGGCTTGTAACTGGTGCAGGCGACGCACTGTGACATGTTGGACGCTCGGTAATAACCGACGAGACACTCTTCTCGTACCAGCAAGACAGTTCCACAGCTGTCTTGCGACAGGTACATGTCGTGATATGTCAGCAGCTGAGACGAACAGCATTGACCTCCAAACGCCGTCCACCACCCGCTCCCGTCTGCAAGCACAACTTGATTCGAGCCCCAAGGGTATCGAGCTGCTACTGTCACGCTGTCCTGGTCGTTGGGAGCAATCATCCAACCGTCGGGAAGACTTCGGAACGACTCTCTCCGACACACCGACGTGTCGTGAGGGCTCCTGCCTTCCAAGCTTGCGTAGCGCTGACCGTTCAAGGTGACAGACACGTCCTCGCAGTAGTTGTTGTTGATCATCCTGAACCCGAAGTCGCACGCCCACGCGCAGTCGGTCCCCTCCCAGTGAGCATGAACAGGCAAGAGTGAGGACGCGCAGGGTTTGCAGCTCCGTTCTTCCACATCCTCCTGATAACCTGCCGCACAACTCCAAGGACAGCTGTCTGGTTTCCCATGCACGCCAGCCCCGACATACTCGCTTGCGAGCGGCTTACCCGTGCACTGGGCGCACATGAAGCCCGCCAAGTAGTGACCAGTCTTGCAACTCCAGCCGCAGCTCTGGATGGCGTGAGGGTCAGGAGACAGCAGGTACTCTGCTCCGGCTGGGATCGAGTTGGTGCAAGGGACGCACTCGGAGTTGTTGGAGGTCGTCGCTCCTACCGGGAGCTCCCGCATGTATCCTGCCCCACACACAGACGACATGAGGAGCAGCCGACCCTGGCAGTCAGTCGACCGATAGTACTTGCCGTCCATGATGTCCAGGTAGTAGCTGCCGTAGTACGAGCCGGGGTAGTAGTAGTAGTAGTAGTAGTAGTAGTAGTAGTAGTCGTTCCATGTTAGGGCGCTGTGAGTGAAGTAGCTGGTGCCGTCCGCCAACACGAGCCGTAGGGCCCCCCAGTCGTACTTGGCAGTGACGTTGATGCTGTTCTCCGTGTCAGGAGCGAGGGCCCACCCATCAGGGATGGTGAGGTACTCGAGGTTGTCAGAAACGCAGTCAACAGACGAGCTTTGAGTGTTGGGGCCAACACCGGAGAGAGCGGCAAACACATGCCCTCCCTCCTGCACCACCTTCTGCCAACCGCAGCTGTCCGTGTCTTCCTCCACCCCAGCCGTCACGTAGACGGCGTTCTTGGGTGTTCTGGTGCAGGGCAGACACTGACCAGAGGACTTGTAGAAGCCGACATCGCAAGTCCATCCGCACATGCCGTCGACGTAGGATGCGTTGCTGGGCTTTGCCTTGCACTGAACGCAAGCATCTTGATCCTTGTAATACCCAGGGGAGCATATCCATTCGCAGGCGCCAGCTCGGGTGGCAACGAGCGGCAGGTAACGAGCGTTGCGAGGGATCGAGTTGTTGCAAGGAATGCAAGGAGCGTCAAGCAGAAGGGAAGAAAGCATGTTGCCGGAGGAGATGAGGGCAGCGGAGTTGGCATGCAAGTTCAAAGACACGAGGGTCGATCCCCTCCCATCGCTCAGCAGGTACATGGTTGAGAAGTAGACGTTCTGCATGCCCACTGCCACCCGCAGCGTGTTGTTGGCGAAAAACGTCACCTCAAAGATGAGATTTGGCTGACCCGGTTGCCCCGAAGTACTCGATGTACCCTCGAACCTTATCACGTATGCTTGCATGCCGTTTTCTATGATTGGTCCTCCAACAATCAGCTGGGCTGACGCATCGCCTCCCCCTACGAACAAGGTGGGAACAGGAGGGTTGCTTGTTGTAAGTCCGCTATAGACGGAGTACGGGGAGCCGAACGTGAGGTATGCGTTGGATGAGATGAACACCCCTGATTGCACATCGTTGCCTTCCACGCAGAAAGCAAAGCCCAGGTCGGGGACATTCCAGCTGTTGTCGTCGACAGAAGACGGCGAGAGGATGTAAGTCAAGTTTGATCCGATCAAACTCTGGGAGAATCCTGACGTGTTCTGCAGAATCGAAGAATTTGCTGGGCCGTAGAAGGTCGGGCTGGCAGGAAGAGACTCTGCTGAGCCCTGGATGCTGGACAGGCAAGAATCTCGACCCCACCCGTCCTGACAGCCAACATACACGATAAGGATCCTCATGTTGCAGCTCGCCGGCCAGTACAAGCCGCCTGTGCTCCTCAGCGCTGAGCTCCCATAGGCACCGCAATACCAGCAGTTGGTCGGATAGTAGCTGCCGCTGGCCACCACCATGAAGTCTGTTCCCCACTGATACGCCCCTATGACCTGACTTGAGGAGTAGTCGTCAGGCGCCAGGATCCATCCCTTGGGCAGTCGCATGGCAGCTGTCTGGCATTGGTTGCTGCTGTAGCTCTTGCTCATACCGTAGTAACTGCCGTCAAGTGATGCAAACTTCCTGTTGTTGTAGAGCACACTCGGAAGATGATCTCCCAGCCTCTCGATCTCGTCCTGTCCAGCCTGTGAGAAGCGTAAGTGACCGTGACCTCGCGTGGCACGACATCACCAAGAGCGCCCCGGAGTTGTCAAGCAGCGTGTACGACTTGGAGTGGCTGGAGGCACGTTTACTTGTTCGCTCATCCACAGGCTTCGCTCTCATGGTATGTGGCTGCCGCTTTGACTTGCCGGGGCCCCGGGCACGTTCGTTTTGCCGCCTTCGAACCGACTCATGTCCTTGAGCTTGAGCAACGACCTCAGCAGAATGTCCCCGCGACCTGGACCGAAAGTTTTCCGAGAGCGGGTGAGAATGGTGGGAGCGTGGGAGGGATCGCTCCGCCTTATCCGCCTTGGCTTGTTTCTCCATCAGGCGAGAAGTGAAGGGCCTCGAGCCTTCACGATCGATGTCCAACGAAGAGCGCACAGAGACGATCCCCAAGATGAGAAGCCCGATGATAAGAGTTGAACGATTCATGACATGAATCATGATGGTGTGTTAATGACGACAACTCGATTTATACCCGCAATCTAAACAATCAAATGTTTAGTTATTCGAAAATTCTTGAGACGTGTTATTGTTGTAGGTGAAAAATGAGGATGAAAAAACACCAAAATGTCAAAGATAGAGTCTCAGAATGGAGAACATCTGACGGTGAGAAGAGAGGACGGCATCTAGAGAAATACAGCAAGAATGGAATGGAGGTTGTGCTTGTTACAGAAAGTTATCCAGGGCAAGCATCAGAAACATTGAGTTCAGAGGAAGATTTTCACTCAGCATCGGTGGGAAAATATGAATCGAAGGAAAAGTTAAGAGGAGGAAGGAGGAGTCGTTAGGAGGAACGATGGATGCAGACTTCGGGGGGCGGGGGGGGGGAGAGGGGATGGAGGGGACGGAAGGAGAAAGAGGTTCAGGACTCAGGAGGAGAACAAGGAGGCAGGAGGAGAACAGGGAGGCAGGAGGAGGAGGAGGAGGAGGAGGGAGGACGGAATGTATGACTGTCTCTGCTCTGAGACGCGAGCGCCTCTGGGCATGACCATAGCACGAGGGGAGGTAGGAAGTGGGGAATATAGACTACCCTACCCATGTCCAGGTCTATCATTGGGAGAGTACCCCACCTTTTCCCTTCCTTCTACCCATTTTTTTACGCGATACCCCACCCCTTCTTGGGATAACAATTGAATCTTGCAGGACCTTCTACTAGGGATCTGTCTAGCACCAGGTACTAGGGATCCTAGGGATATTCCACCTGTCCCAGCTCACTGATGAGTCAGGGAGGGCCTGGGCTGTCGACTTCTGTCAGGGTCAAGCAATTACTACTCAAAGTTAAGTTAAAATCAGTACGAGCACCTTTACTACTCAAAGTTTAAGTCAAAGAAATACTGAGTACTACGAGGCCTCTCGATGATCGGCTCGACATCGCTGGCATGGCCGCCGCGCGGGGGACTTGTCCTGCGCGCCGTTAAGTGAAGGTATCAGTTAAGTTTGGGGGACAGCAGTTGGCAGGAATAGGTTTGGTTCTCGCTGTCTTTTCTCTCCTCGCCGTTCGGCGCCTGTGCGACTCTCACAGAGTGTCAGAGTAAAGATTGGGTCAAGCTCAAGCCTCCTCGCCGGCCTCTCCTGATTGTCCTCGTATCACCACTGGCGCCCGGCGGTGCCGGCGGAAAGGACGGTACGTGACCGGTCGTGACCCGGCGGACGGCCCGGTATGGCCCAGTGCCCGGCGGTCCGCTGCGGCACTGCGCGGCGGCCGGGGGGGCGCGCCCGGGGGCCGGGCCGCCCGGCCCGGGGGGCGGCCGGTGGGCGGTGGGCAGCGAGTCAGTGGGAACTTGACCGTACCGTAACTTAGTAACGGCGTCGTACTCCGGGCCGCCGCCGGTTCGCCGCCCGCCCGGCGGGATCGGACCGTGCGTGACCGTCGTGAGACTCATTACGTTCGCTTATAGCTTTAGTTAATTCTCGATCCTGTCCTTCTGGTACTAATCATGGACACGGCTCTAATTGCAATTTGTACCAGTCCTTCCCCCCCTGATGGCGCCTGGGGGTCTTCTGCCCTTGCCTGGAGTAGACCCCACCCTCACTCTCCCATGGGAAAAGAGTAGGTCGGGTGGGCGACTTGGCTGGGGCAAGGGTAGGTTGTGAACCTTTTATTCCAAGTATTTGCATGCAGAAATTTGTATCGGCGGCGTGCTATTCTTAGATTCAAACTGTACTGCATGACGACAATAAAATCAATTCTACACGCCTTCGTGGTACAAGAACAGTACCGAAAATCCTATCGACCCACCCATGCTTTTCTCTGTTGGATACAGCAGGCATAACCCCTGGTCAGAGGCGTGTATTCAAAATTTGAACTTTAACGTAAGGTACCCACCCTTGCTCATGTGTCATAATTCCCTAAAACAGGAGGGTGGTCGATACGGCACTCAATCTTGGGATCAGGGGGTGGGTGGTAAGGAATCCCCAACCCATCCCTCCCTCTCGATGCATGATGAATGTTGCCCATCCAGCGACCATCAGGCTACTGAAAGATGCCAAGACCAACATGGTGACAAAGGTCAAACATGAGAATCAAAGATGGTGGGTTTGAGTGGTATGCATGCTCACTTTGCAACTCTGATACTTTAGTGACAGATCCTGCTTCCCGGCGAGCAGTCATCGTGCATGGATCAGGATGCCCAAAGCTCTGCCCTTTTCAACGCTGCACTTGCACATATTACATGTGGTGATGCACTCAGGTTGGCATTGCTACTCCACATACAGGTTGATGACAGACGTTATATTGTCTAGATTGTTTAGAACCCCAATTCCAGCTTGAACAACATTGTTGAAGACGTGCAAACTGTTAGCGGCAATCTGTTTCTCAAAAACAGATCCCATCACGAATCACGGTGAGGCTGAGATCAAGTGAAGATTGATCTTCTCATGTTTGTGTATCAGGTAAGCATCGTGCATCCACATGAACAAGCAACACGGCATTTTTTTCCTTGGCACCTTCCTTCCTAGCAGAACAATGAACACATGTAAGATATTACATGCTCGTGACGATATCGACAGCAGACAAGTTTTACGACAAAAGAAAATTATGTAGGGATGATCTAAGTGTATCGAATACTTGCTGTTGGTGCTCAACATGTGGAGAAAAGACGATTTGAATGAATTCATGAGAATTCATGACAGTGGATCACTTCTGAAGCAACGTATCTCAATGTTGCATACATAGCTTGACTTCATATCCTTACATCGTGAGAGTTGACAACCTGTATGGAGTGAGCTTTTCTGCGTCACATCATCATGCTGAGATCTGCATGCAACTTTCCAGCGCAGTTGCAGAGTCATGTGCACAGGAGTTCTCTTGCAAGTAAACTAATTCCAAATCATGCTTAATGAAATGCGTACCGTCTGTTGATGCCTTGACCGAGAACAATCGTGTTACAGAGTATTGCTACTCGCTGCATGCGAAGCTGCTACTGTCTACAACACTCTAGAGTTCTGAACATCATATCAGTCCACAGCATGCAGGTTGCAAGGTTCCGAACGAACCGCGCTTCAAAGCAGGGCCATGAGCTTTGAATCGTGCTTGATAGAACACGTACACTCAGCTCAGTTCATGCTTTCGTGACCCTAGTTGGATGTTCATACACCTTGCCAATGCCCGTGAAACATGTTGCCGCTCCCATTCAAATGTATACTGTAAATCTGAGGCACAAAATTTCTAACATCAAATATCTTGAACTATGCAAAATCAAAATCCTTGATTACACTATGATGAGGCAAGAGCAGGATGCTCGTTGTCCCATCTTGTTTGTGAGGGCACGAGTGAAGGTTGAGCTGCTTTGACAAACAGCACTGGATATCTAGTGCAATACTTTACATCTCAAGCATTTGTTTATTGATAAAACATAACATTGTCGACTATGCGAATGAAAAATCATCACAGCAACACTTGGATGGTGCTTGATTCTGAACTTGCAAGATTAGATTACGATAATGATGATTGTATTCACAAAAGCAACACAACGACCGTGCTATCAAGATATCTCATCGACATTAACTTCGAATCTTGATGGTCTATCCGTCTTCGTCATTGATTAGCGTTGTGCATATCCCTGCACCATCGCGAGAGGGCTGAAGGGAGGGGGGGGGGGCTCGGGGGGTCTACCATCATAAAATGCTGGACTCTTAAAAGTATTGTAATTTGTACCATTAAAACAAATAAATTAGTATTACAGGACCCACCCCTGTGCATTTCCCTCTTCAAACTCTACCACGCCTGTATCAGAGCCCCACAGGAAAAAGAACCCCAAAACCAACAAGCGAACGTAATGCTCAGTGCGGCATGCCGGGCCTCGGACAGGCCACTCCCGGAGCCGCTCGGAGTCGGCGTGACCGGGTGACGGCCGCCGCCGGATATTATGATGGATCTTGTATTAGAGCCCAGCGGGGGCTTGCCGAGCGCAAAACTGACCGTCCGACTCCCGAAATTGTAACTCGGCTGAGTGTTCCAATGGAACGGTAGTACTCCATTCCGGCGGCGACCGTATTCGCCGATGATGGAATGATCTGTATGTGACTCGTGACTACGGTAGTAAGCCTGGGCGGAGGGGGACGGTCCTGTCTTCTCTTCTCCCTCTCTCTTCCTCACACAGTGCCCGCCTGGCCCAACGGCCCGGCCCGGGCCCCGGGCCCGGCGCCCGGCGGACCGGCGCGCCGCCGTGACCGCCTCCCCGGCGGGGGGGCCCTGGCGCCGGGAGTCGACCGGGCTTGAGGGGGGGCGTGGGCGCCGGGCCGGGCCGGGCTAACCAGGGGGTTTTCAGTTTTTCTTTTATGGGGAGCTTTGGATTTTTAAACGGGCCAAAAGCAGGCGCGTGCGGGGCTGCCGGTCGTCGCAGGTCCCTTCCGGCCGCGGGCAGCGCCGCGGCCGGGCCGCCGGGCCCCGGCACTCCGTGGCACTGACTGGCACCGGCACACGGCGGTCGCGGGCCCCGGGGCTCGGACTGGGGCCGCACGCCCGCGGCCGTTCAAGTGACAGCCCGCCGCAGTGGTGGAGGCGCCGGGCGCGGCTCACTCGGACTGCAGCCTGCGGCACCGGCCGGGCCGCGCGCCGCCGGTCACCGTGCCGCAGCCGGCCGCCGCGCCGGGGCGGCCGCGCCGCGGACCGTGGCGAAGATTACCCTCATCCTCCCTCAGGCCCATGTATTGACTGAACAGCCACGTGAAGCTCCACAGCTCCAAGTATCCTCGAAGAGCCATCCCCGCAGCTCTTCGTGAATCAGGCTCTTGGAGGGGTTCACATTTTTCATAAATTAAGTTTAATATTTGAAAGTTAGTCCATAATTTGCTCTCTGGAAGAGGATATTTTCGAATATAGCACTGCGATTTCGTCTGATGAAATCGGCTGGAGCCCCAAATGTGGATAGGAGGCGTGAGGAGGTCTGGATAGAATACCCCCCTGTCGGAAGCATTCGTGTCCCTTAGTCGCAATGCTCGCGTCTTCGCTCAAGTTCATCCCCCTTGTCGGCCAGGTATGGCGAGGAGGAAGGAGAAGGAGGAGTGATATCTGGACATGAGATGGAGTGGGAGAGAGTGCTGATTGATGATGAATGGATGTGAAAGTTTTTCTGTCGAAGAGTTGTTTCAAATAGAAGACGAGGATGATTCTGCGGTTGTGTGAGATCTGGATGGAAGAAGGAGGGTTGGAGAATGGTTGGTGTTCTTGTGATTGAGAGCATTTGCAAATGTTTGATTGATATTTGACAAATTTGGAGTGTCCTTGAGCCGGAAAGTAATTTCCAGAGGTGAACTTGAGCTGTGGACGTCTTGATGATTCTTGAAATGTTACTGCATCGGGTGCAAACCTTTGAGCGACATGATGTTTATCTTCGAATTTGTTTTTTTGTGTGATGCTCTATTTTTTCGATGTGAAATGTGTGGTTGCAAAATGATAACCAAGTTGAGTTGATGTTCCGAGAGATCGTCTCACTGTGACTCTTCGGACCCAAAGCAATTTCGTGCGACTTCTTCACCCAGTTCTCTCGAATGGATGTGTTTCTGTTCATTTACACTTTTGTCTTTTTGTTCGTTTACAATTTTGTCTTCCTGTTCATTTGCACTTGATTTCATTGATCTTGACTGGGAATATTCTGACTGCCTCTGGGTAGAGCACTGAGCTCGCTATCGCTCAGCCCGTTCACTTCGAGATGCTCGCCGACAACGATGGCACTTGCGTAAGTTCCCTACGCACTCGTGAGAGACGTGCCTGATGTGCTGGCAGAACTCCATGCCCGGATGGGATCCTCTCCACATCTGGAACCCCCGCGACTACCACGAGGATCCTGACTGCCGCCTTAACCCGATGTACCAGCAGCGCGGCATGGGCGTCGGTGCCTCCTACGGTGGCAAGTACTAAATCTTGCTAGTTGGCACCTGTACTTGAACAGAATCTCATTTTGCAGCATTTGAAGTGAAATTGTCTTAACGCACCTCAGTCTTGTAGAGAACTGTCTCAATGATTGACATGATGGCACCATTGCTGTTCCGAAGTTTGCGGGGTATAGTCTGTGCTTGCACGCAGACTCAATCACGCTATCCTTCAAATGTTTACATATTTCACCTGAATGTGAGGATACAGTCATACAGTCGGACCCCGGATTATTAGTCCACTCCACTCGTAGTCACTGCCCCATTGTTGATCCGATCGGGATTTGAAGTTTATTTACAAGTATTATACATCATCTACGGGTGGATGTTGACCGAGATAAACTCGCACGAGGGAGGAGCTGAGAAAGCTTTCGAAGCGAGCATCCAATGAAGCATGTCCCTGGAGAACCTGTAGACAGGAGTAGACTTCTCTAGCATCTGGAAAAACTCTTCCCTCTTCGCCTCCTTCAACGATCTTGCAGCCATGGTGGTCAGCTCCGTCTCCCTGTAGAACTCGTCCAGGCTCTGCACCTGGATCGCGATCCCCGTGCCCTTCCACATCACAGCAGAGATGTGATGCGAGTCCACCTGAGAGATCAGCTCCAGCTGCCTCGTCTTGTCACTGACAGGAAGAGCAAGACTTCGGAGCTCTGAGTCACGGAAGCAGAGCGTTCGGATGCGCCTGTGGAGCATTTCCACCTTCTCGGGCGTCTCCACCAGGAGGCGGATGTGGTACATGTTGTCAAAGAGGTCGTCGCTGGCCCTGGCTTCTGGGTCTTCCACCTCGAAGATGCTGTCAGCGATCTGCTTCCACAGCTCGTTGCTTGGCTTCGCATGCATCATCACTCGGTGCAGCCCATAGTTGTTGCGCTCAAGAGCATCGAACTCAACCGCGTGATTCACCACCTTAACCGGCTTCCAGGCACCCTCCGAGTTGACGGCAAGACCATCAATCTGGTTCTCTGCAAGCTCCATGCTCACGGCACCCTTGGTCAAGGTGGACAGGGGGACGATCTCCGTGAGCTTGAACTCTAGCCCATCATCCGACTTGGCTGTAACGGTACTCCTGCACTCGAATTTCTCCTCCGACAGCACTGCCGTTATCAGATGTGCCAGCTGCACCATGGTCCTCTGTCCCTCGTTGTAGAAGGTAGCCACCTCATCCCTCACCCGGTTTATCTCCGAGTATGAGAAGTCCAGGTCATGGTGTTTGCTGGGACACTCCAGGGCCGCAATGGCCGTGTTATGAATCTGAGCCACCACAGACTGCAGGATCGGCTCCTGCACGATAGCGTTGGCCCCAATGCTTGACCGCCTCCTGATCTCATGGCCGACAGCTCGTCGTGATCTGCATCGGATGCCCATGTTTCCCCTGTTGTCAATGACAGCTGTCTCCCTCTTGGTGCTTTTGACTTCCCCCTGGATCGACTGCACGAAGCTCACACCTGCCTGATCGGGGGACTGCTGGTAGTTGAACTCATCCGCATGGGGCTTCGTAGCAACGCGGCAGACAAGCTTCTTCGCTCCAGTGCTGCACTGCTTGGCTTGCGGGCCGGACAGAGACAACAGATGGCCCGCGCCGCTCGAGGAAAAGCCATGGAAGCCTCGTGTGCACGGTGCCATGGTGGACACCAGGCACACTGCTAGGAGACCCTTGATGGAAGAAGAACCCATTGTCGACTAGGCGCCGGCGATCAACCTGGCACAACGTTGTGAGAACAGAGATATCCATTGCTCGGTGAAGGCTGAAGGTCACTGTGATCAGTGTACTACGAAGGGTTCATCTCCCTTGTTCCTGAAGGGGAAGCACGGAACTTGTCACTGTCCTACTACCGACTGAGATCGTTGTAACATGAAAATAGTAGTTGCAAACTTTCAGATAATCCAGCAATGAGCAGCCTAACAGCCTTTTGCGGTTTACAACCAGAATTTTCGAATTCCACCAAGATCTTTCATTTCTCTCGATGAGCATACTGGAGTTTACCAGAACGATCTCAAATATGAGTACAATATTTCATGTCGTGTAGATATCGATAATAGTGAACTATATCTGCTCTTCTCTACTGATCCCCTTCCTCTGACCATATCCTGTCCTGGCGGCTGCTCCTGCTCCTGCTCCTGCTGCTACTTGCCCTGCTCTGTAGCTCAGTATGCTCGAGACATTCCTGCTATTACTGCATGTTTTAGCTTCTGCATCGCCATTCCTCTCACTCTTTAGGGTGTCTGCCTGCCCTTGGCTTCTACCGTACTGTGATTATTTCCGCCATTGATAAGCACGCCTTCAGAGAAGGTCGAACGAGTGCTTAGGGATAGGGGTAGGGATATCGCAGGCAAAAATAAGGGTAGGGGTGCTTTCAGGTTCTCTGTTCCCAGGGTAGGGGTGTAGGTGCTTAGTGGGGGTAGGGGTAGATATCCGCAATTGGGTGCAGTGGTAGTGAATTACCACTGGGTGGGGTACTTTCTTTGCGCCCGGATGCACCCGGTAGATGTCCTTATGTTGCAAGGGTAGGTGTGAGAATGTCAAATAAGGTGGGTACATTTCATTCTCCAAGGGGTGGGGTTCTTCTTGGGAAGGGGGTGTATACTCGGGATGAAAATCCATGTACTGCAGGGTGGGGTCATGAAAGGAAAGGAGCGGGTGGAGAGGCATTGGGTTCTCCCGGGTGGTACCCCTATGTGATCCTGGATTCCATCATATCTTGAACAAGAAAGAGGGGGTAGGGGGTGGTACTGTATTTGGACCTAGAGCCTGCAACAGGTGTAAAAGACAGTTATAAATTACAGCGACGCAGTCATAAACTTTGAAACTGAGAGTCCTTAATTTTGAAAGATAAAAAGAACATTTGAAACCTAGGATAAGACTGTACACCTCCAGGAGATGCAAGCTCACGTCTTTTCAGCTAAGGGAATTTATTAGCTCGGGCGGGCCGGGAAAAGCTGTCGGGCCGACTGAGATCACTCGGAGAAGACAGGACTCTTCTGTTGGTTATGAGCCTTTTGACCGCGGTATCTCACTGTTTTACTACAGGAAATACCAACGGCGCCTCAGCTCTGAATGGACCCATGTTTACAACGTTTCCGTTTAAACCTCGCACTTTAATTGCTAAATTTAGGTCTCCGTCTAAATCGAGCAGCATCGTTTCCGTTAGAAGGTACGGGTACGCAAATGATGAGTACTGGTGGTTATACCAGAACATCGCTGGAAGATAACGGGTAGGGCCAAAAGCTGTAGTCCATGGGGTGGTATTCGGACGCAAAGTTTCTTGTCGATTTCCATGTAAATATGAACACCCCCTCTTTTTACCAGGTAATGTGGGGTCCTTGAAGGACAGGGTGGCACGGGTCAAAGGGTCTGCAACAGTTTGAACGAGGATGTCTCAATATAGTTTTTGTTTGCCCCATACCGCGAGGTTTGGGGTAAGTTGGTCTGATCTCCGGGGGACACTTACCTGAACAGATGCGACTATTCACTTCTATCTTGTCAAAGACTACGAGTTCGTGTCGTTTAGAACCTTATAAAAGCTTTTTATATGGTAATCGTTCTTGTATCGTAGGCCTTTCGTCATCATTCAGCCGCATGCGAGTATTAAATTGATTTTAAAATGATTTAGCAGCCACTCATACCCAAATTTAGATACGATTCCTTTGGTTCCAAGAGCCGTTTTCGGGGGTGGGTGTAAAGAGTACCCACGTCTTATACCTATTCCCCAGGTTCTTTCGGGGGTGGGTCCGAAGATGTACCCCTTTACTGCCTCGCTTCAGACTGCAACAACCGTTTTTAGAACCTGGTTCAAATTTTCGATCAACATTTTCGAACAGTTGAACAAATGTGTTCAATACATTTGAAATAAATAGACCATTTTGAAGAATGTTAACAAAATTTCCACTTTTCAATGGTCATATGCCCACTCAGTACAAGTCATTTTACACTTCTCTTTAAATGTTATTAGAGACGTTTTAAAACAAATGAGCCTCCTTTTAAAAACTGCTTTTAAGTGACGGGCTGTAGACAGCTGCGCCGAGTGACATGGCGAGGGAATAAGGAAGTGGAGGGGAGCAGACGAGCGAGAAAGACAAGAAGAGGAAGAGCGATCTAGTGGGCAGCAGCACAACAGAGATACAGAGAGACATAGCAAGCGTTAGAGACAGATAGGAACGTAGACGTACCTGCTCGGAGCACGAAAGGTACAGGTTGGGAGCTTTGCAGAGGACGGAAATACACTCTGCGATTGCTGAGGAATAGCGGTTATCTGATACCCACGAATTAGTCCAACTACATTGAACATGAAGAAATCTTTCCTTCTCACAATGGCCCTTGCACCTTGGATTGGATGTGTTGCCTTCTCGCCGCAGCTACCATCCTTAGCCCGTCGAAGGACGATGCAGGGAGCAGGACGGGGGAGGGACCATTTGAACTTGGTGTCGCAAGTCGCAACAAAGGGGAAAGTCACAAAGAATGCCTACAACATCTGGCAACATTCCTTCGGCTTTGATAGGGAGGAGCTCAAGGATGTCGTTCGGCCGAACCCGGTCCAGCAAGGGATCGACAGTGTGCTGCGGGGAATGAATGCCGGGCATGGAGTTCGTTTCCGCGTACACAGGGCCATCGGCCATGAAATCCGCAGAAGGGCGCACATTGGGCATGCGTCATTGTTCTCTCCCCCTGTCTTGCAGTCTGTGGTCAACCAGATCCACGAGGCAGCGCTCAAGGCGTTGAGCTCGCCGTCGGAGAAGAGCGACCTTGAATTCTCCTACGCGGAGATTGCTCTGGTCAGGGATGAGGTCGAGAACTGTTGCTGCGAGGGCCAGAAGACCATGGCGCAGCTTGCCCAGCTCCTGGCTCACCGGCTGAGCCTTGGCAAGTACGAATGCAGGAGTACCGTGACAGCATCTGCGGGCCACGGGCTTCAGTTCAAGCTGACCGAGACTGTGCCGACGCCTGTGGTGATCGACGAGCATGACGGGCTTGCTCTTGCTCAGCGCCAGATCGACGGTCTAGCGGTGCAGTCGAAAGGAGCATGGAAGTCAGTGGAGCTAGTGGATCACTCAGTGGAGTTCGATGCCACGGAGAGCAACACAGCGGGTCTGCATCGGGTCATGATGCATGCGAAGCCGAGCAAGGACTTGTGGCGACTCGTGGCCGACAGCCTGTTCGAAATCGACGACCCTGACGCCGAGCCGCTGGTGGAGGATCACAACATGTACCACATCAAGCTTCTGGTCGAGACCCCCGAGCTTGTCGAGCAGCTGCATCGCTCCCTCCGCACGATTATCTTCCAGGACTCGGAGCTCCGCGACCTGTCGCTTCCTGTCGCAGACTCCACGAGGCAGCTGGAGCTGATCTCTCAGGTGGACTCGCATCACATCTCTGCTGTGATGTGGAAGGAGACGGGAATCGCGATCCAGGTGCAGAGCCTGGACGAGTTCTACAGGGAGACGGAGCTGACGACCATGGCGAACCGGGCGAAGAGGAGGGCGAAGCGGGAGGAGGCGTACCGCAGGCTGGAGAAGAAGACTCCCATCTACCGCTTCTCTCGCAGCATCTTGCAGTGGATGCTTGCTTCGAGGACGTTGTCATCTCCGCCATCGTGCGATTCCATCTCAGTGAGTCTGCACCCTTGAAAGCAGCAGACTTGTACACTACTTGCTAGATTAGAGTTACTTGAATCAATGAAACATGATCAAATCTCATTCGCACCCTCGTTCTTTGCCTGCGATGTTGTAACATGGCCGGTCTGTTAGTAAAATGATAATTCTTTTTGTGATCGTGAGAATATATTACTATGCTGGTGAGACATTCATTACTTTGATAGGGTTGTCGATTTGCCGCTGCTCTCCTGTTCATTTCTAGCATTCGAATCTTCCGGTCAACTCCGTTTGAATAGCTCCTTCAGCTCCTCCTCCCTCCAGCCGTTGTCCCTTGCGTTCTCCCACACGGTCTCTCCTGTGACATGTGAGGAGGAGGAGGTACGAGCGAGCAGTGGAGTGACCTGTTGTCGGTTCTGCCAAGTTGAAGTTGAGGCCAAAGTCTGCCAACAATTTGAAAACTTCTTTATCCTGTTTACATGGTTAGTTACGGTCATCCCCTTTGTCTTCTTCCCCTGCCCCGCATCACCATATCATCATGTCATCATCATCTTCGTCTCCATCCTCCTCCTCCACCACCACCTCCTCCTCCTGCTCCTCCTCATCTTCCCTCCCATCGTCCCTCACCTGCCGCAACAGAGCATAGAAAGCAATCGGCACGTCCGCAGCGTCCCTGCTGTCAGGGTTCGCCCCGTGCTCGAGCAACACCCGAGTCATCCTCGGCCCCACCCCTTCCTCCACGCACACTGCAAGTGCCTGCTCCTTTTCTCAGCTCCTCAACCTCCTAGCTTGACAGCAGGTCGCCCACCGATCTCCCAGCTTCGTCCTTGACCTCCGCCTTGACGCCATGGCACAGCATCACACGGACCTTCCTCGTCCTTGTCACCATCGTCCCACCTCACTTCCCAACTGTTGCTCTGCTCTCTGACAGGCCTCGTCTGACTCCTCTCATTCCTCGGTCGCTCCACTCCTCTGCCCCGTCCCTTTCTTCAAAGTTTTCCTCTCCTCCTTCTCCCCCCCCCCTCTCCCCTCTCCCCCCCTCTCCCCTCTCCTCTACCGTCTCATGGGCGCTGCTCCTGATGCCGTCGAAGAGAGCGTCGCTGAGTTTCTTCCCCACCTGCTCCTCCGCTCACCCAACAATTCGAAGACGTGCAGGAGGAGGGAGGAGAGGGAGGAGAAGGAAGCTGAATAGGGAGACTGTCCAACTCTCCAGGGGTTTGAGAGCAGAGGAAGAGCAGGAAGAAGGAGGGGAGATAAAGTGGGAAGGGAAGATAGGAGAGAACAAAAGGAGGAAAGAAGCGGAAGAAAGAAGAGGAGCAGGACAGAAGTGAAGGAAAGAGCAGGGCGACAGAGGAGGACAAAGAGAAGGAAGAGGAGGAGGAAGCAGGAGAGGGGAGGAAGCAGTATCGCACACAAGGGGGAATATCATGACTGACCTCCTGGTAGAAACCATGGAGGGCGGCGAACTCCAGCAAGTGACAACCCCCCTCGTTCTCAGCTGGGCACAGGGGCAGGGCCCCGGCTGAGAGGAGAGCTCGGACGGCCCACACGTTTCCCACCTCGAGCGCAAAGTCAAGGGGTCCCTTCCCTGCAGCTCGTCAAATCAGGAGGCGACCTAAAGGCCAATGCAGAATCTCGACGCTCCTTCGTGGAGAGCCAGGGTGGAGGAGGAGGGTAGGCAAGGGGGGAGGGGGGGGGGGAGAGCAGGAGGAAGGAGGACTGCAGCAAGGAGGAAAGGCAGGGAGGAAGTAAGCGGGGAAGGAGGACATGGAGCAGGTGGAGGAGGACATGGGTTAGGTGGAGGAGGAGAGGTAGAACAGGATGGTAGATTCTCAGCTCTCAACACCTGAGATGAGATGCGCGCAGTTTGGATCAACTCCGGACACCAAGAAAGCTTTCAGGACTTCCTGCCCGAGTTGGCTGCTGACTGTCGCCATGTAGTGAAGTGAGTTGTGACCAGAAGGGTCGTAGGCCATGCAGTCTCCTCCTGTTGGTACAAGATGACTTTTAGCACACCGTTGCTCCGCCATCACCACCACTGCCTCCTTCTACCCTTACTCCACTTCCGCTTCCTCCTCCACCACTACCTTCTCCACCACCACTTCTACCACATCCTCCTCGTCCTCCTTCTCCTCCTCGTCCTCGTCCTCGTCCTCCTCGTCCTCCTCGTCCTCCTCGTCCTCGTCCTCGTCCTCCTCCTGCCTCTTCACCCCTCATCCTGATATTCGAAGAGAAGTAATCTTTCACATGTTCATGTCTCCGACCCTCATCATCCTTGATTGTATCCTGAAACCCCCCCCCCTCCTCCACCTCCCCCCTGTCCTGCCTCCCCTCCCCCCTCCCCCCTCCCCCCCCCCCGCCCATCCCGCCGTCTCTCTACCTCTTCGAAAGCTTTCCATCGCTTTCTTCCAAGATTTTTCATCTCCGATGTAGTTCTTCTTCCCTACCCGAGAGATTCCTTGGATGGAGCTGTTCTGAACCAGCAGCTGCAGCACATCAGTCAGCCTCGTCACCATCACGACGCGCGCGTATGTTCCATCCTCACATGCTCCTCCCTGGCCCAGTCCGAGCAGACTTGGAGGAGGACCTCTGACTGCTGGTTGACCTGAGCTACTTTCCCTTTCAGCCTGCTCGCCTGCTCCCTCCTCGTCAGCGACCGCCCACGAGGCTCCATCTGCACGACCTTCCTCCTCTTTGCCATCAGCTCCAGCTCCTTGAGCTCCGCCTTGGAGAACTCGTACCGCGCCTGCTTCGCATACCGCACCGGCTGCTCCAACACAACCCCATCTTCCGCATCCTCGATCGACGTCGCACTGCCAGAGACGGTCGTCTTGTGTCTCAGCCATCGATAGCTCACTCACCTCACGTTTGGGTTTGCACAATCATCCCAAGTCAGATCGTCTACGTTGACCCTGCGGGGCTCCTCCTGGATCTGCAGCAGCGCTACGGTCACAGCCGAGCATGCTCGAGGGAAGCAGCAGCAGACACACCATGATCGCCTGCTTGATCAGCGAGCTGACTGTCCGGGACCTGCACTGAGTGTCAAGAGGTCGCAGCGACAGCGTGGGGGCAAACTTGTTCTCGTTGTTGAGCATGACCGCCCTCCTTTTCGCACCATAACATCGGACGATGGACTTGCTCATCTGTAAATCTCTCAAAGACTCAGACGTCATGTGTTGATGAACAAAAACAGGTAGAATGATTTCAGCAGATCCTTGAGTAACATCTCGACAGCACGACAAACCTAGACAACTTGCATGGTATTGATTTTCACATCTCTTTACTTCGATGGCATCCTCCACCATTCATCCGATTCGAGGCAAGGAGAAGAGCGGTGTATCATCCAGCTATTACTGAGTGTCCAAGAGCCACCTTGTACTCCCTTCTCCTTCCTTTGCCAGACAACCTGGTTCTATCTGTCCAGCTGATCTAAAATCGTTTTTCACATCCTTCCCTCGCATCGCTTGTTCTCCCCTTCTCTGCTTCATCTTACTCCCATATCCTCATGCTCATCCTTCGTGCTCATCTATCTCACTAATCTCTTCCTCCTCGTCCTCGTCCTCGTCCTCCTCGTCCTCGTCCTCGTCCTCCTCCTCCTCGTCCCTGCCTCGCAAGGTTCAGCTGCGATCGCATTTCGCGCGCGCGCCAAAGTGTTTCGGGTCTTTTTTTGACCACCCACCCCAACACCCCATGATATGCAATGAGGAATAGGGGGTAGTAGTTCAAATTCAAAACTAACTATCCAGCCCGCCTCAATATTTACATAAGAAATACTTCAAGGCAGTAAAACTATGATGATATTTGATCTTCAATTCTGACTGCTGTCCCATTTGTTGAATTTTTCTTTAGCTAATCCCATTTTATCCCTCCTCCCACCGCTGATTCTCTACGTTGCGATCCATGGCCGCAGTCAGTTTGCTGCTGCTGCTCCCGCTCGCTGCTGCTCCTCTTGTGCTTTCAGACGCTGCCAGAGGACTCTCCTCCTCCTCCTCCTCCTCCTCCTCCTCCTCCTCCATATCAGCTCCCTCTCCGCTGTCCTCCGCCTTCACTCTGCCTTCAGCGGCATGGCAGTGGCGAATGCATGCGGGAGACGTTTATGGGATCAGACGTTCGAGCAGGCTATGGTGTACAACGGGGAGAGCGAGGAGGGAAAATGGCATTGTGACGATGGTAGACGATGGTCGAACGAGGAGATCGGTGCTGAAGGACACGCTCGCTGCCATGTTAGGAGTGAGTGTGCTCGGGAACGCGCAGGCAGGTCATGCGGAGGAGAATAGGGTGGGCAAGGAGATCCAAGAGCTGAGGACGAGGATGGTGGCGAGCGAGCTCAAACAGCTCCCGGCAGACTTCAGGTCCACCAGCGACATCGAGTACCCGGCATGGCTGGAGGGAACCTGGCAAGTGACCGCCCGTTTTGACAACTTTAGCACACCGCTCGGAGTGAAGGTGTGGACATGCGA